ATGGAAGAACAACTGGACAAAAAGTTCTTTCTACAGTGGTGACAACCAGAGAGAGCTTTAGATACATACCCTCATCACCTGACCCCTCAAAACATAGATAAACACACATCCTATTAAAAACAGATTCAAGATAAGCCTCTCTGCCATTCTTTCCATCTAAGTGCCAACATTAAGCCTCTTCAGCAGAAAAATGCTAAAGCCTCACTCTTATACATTGATCTATTGCATGCAGAACGATACTGATTGATCAAAAAGAACTGCTTGTACCCTGGGCTTCATATATGGCATTGTTCAGTGGCAGAAATCATCCTTCCCTCCCCCAAATCCTCACGTTACCTTTCCCTCCCCTAGAAAAATGTCTTTCTTGCCCTACAAGAAAACCCAATCTTGGTTCCCTGGGGTGTCATTTCCTCCTGAATTATGCTGGGAGAAAAAAAAAATCAAATGTCCTTTTGTACCCTGGAAAGCAATTGCAGACCCTATAATTCTTTTTTCCCCGCTTATGTAATTTATACACTGGCTTTCAGTGAAATACACCCTCTACAAATTTGCTTTGTATTTGGAAGACAGAATCTTCAGCTCTGACCTTGTTCCTTGTAAATAAGGAAACTGAATTCCCCACCCAGGAGAAAACAAATCACTTTATCTTCTGGATAAATGAGTCAGTCATTTACTTGTCGTAAAGATGACTCTCTTTGGGAAGCGGGCTGTGGAGTAGTTGTTCTAAATCACTTTGAAGCATCTGCATAGTGAATTGAATATTTTCCTTAGTTTTCCTGTGGGGGTGGGTGGTCAGCTCCCATACATAGTCTGTTGGGTAGCAACAAAATGTTTTCAATGCCAATCATCCAACCAGAAGTCAACTCTGTCCTAAATCTCTTTAGTATACGCCCAAACTTAGGAACCCAGAGAGGCAAACAGAACAGAGCAAGTAAATGCTGATGGTGGATAAAAAATGCTCTTTGGAACACATAATCATACACCTATTTGATAGGCTAATGGAACTACCCAGCAGGATTAGTAGAGGAGAATCCCACATTGGACCAAGAGCACATTTGCAGAAGAAAGAAACACTTTGGTTGGGCACCACTATTGGACTCCATGGTCTACCTGCCTCATTCACTTACTACTTAGACAATGCTGAAAAATATTTCCCTTGAAGGCCTTTGGTTCATATTTCATTCTCAGCAAACAGAACAGAGACTGCCACATAGTAGGTGCTCAGTAAAATATCTGTTAAATAAACAAATGAGTGAACTTGACTACCTACTCTGTGTGACTTGACAAACATTTTAACACTATTGGCAACACTATTGGCTTTAGCTTACTCATCTTTCACGTACGGGTAATGCCAGTGTCTACCTCAGAGGTTTATGGAAAAACCAACTCAATTCAATGGTAGAGAACCTATTTTGAGCTCAACAAAGGAGTGTCATTGTAACCTTATAATCATTATCCTATTCCTCCTCATCACAACCATTTGGGATTCTCTGTAAAACTTGTAGAAAGTTTCAGAATATTCTGAGCTTTACACATATTTTAGGAAGGGAATTATTTACTCTCCCATGAAGACACTGACAATGAAAAGTAAGAATTCCTCACTAAGATAGCAGGATCACTGAAGCCATTATGTCTTCATCTGAACATTCTCGGTGTATCCATTTGAAATTTGCCCTGAATCACTGCTCTTCCTTTTATTTTTTCTTTCTTTATTTCTCTTTTATTGTCAGAGAATGCACACAATCACCAGAGAAAGAGAGAGAGAGAACTCTCCAGTGTGTGTGGTCACACTACAATCCTTTTTCTTGCATTCCTCCTTCCCATTAGGATTTCAGACACACATACCATGCACTTGGCAAATTTTTTAAGCCAGGAAGACCAAGATTCAAACCTTGCTCAGCCATGTGAAATCCAACTTCCTTAATTGCTGAGCTACAAGAAGGCCGACAGAACCCCCTGACAGTGTTCAGTAGACCTTTTCTTCTAACCCTTAGTGTGCAGGATTCCAGATGAGCCTCTGACATTTTCTTAGGTACAAAGTAGAACTTAGCCTGAATTCAGTAAAACTTGTATTGATTTGTTTGCTATGGTCTTGCATTAGGTTGCTGGTCTATACTTCAAAACTACTTCATGTTAAATAAAAATTAGAATGAAGGAGATTGTATGTACATTGTTATTTGACTTGCTTATTTCAAAGTTAAATGAATTTTGACTTCCAGATAAATTAACATCATTAATCTGATGCAAAAATCTTCCTTGTGTTTTTATAGCACCCTTTATTCTTTAACTTATTATTTACGATAGCATATTAAAATCATCTCTCTAGGTGTTTGTCTCTCCCACTAAGTTCTAAGTTACTTGAAGGTAGGCACCATGTCACAGTCATATCAGTATTGTTAACATCTGGTCCCTGGAAACCCATGAAAGATGATCAGTCAATGTTAAAGAGAGAGGCTGTGGATGCTGGAGACAGTGTGGGAGGAGGATGAGAATTGGGAGAGGGTGAAAAGGAGAGAATCAAGGGGAATAAGACGCAATACATTTAAGAGACACAAAAGTGGAGAACTATGTGTTGATAATGTGTATGATCGTATCTTAGACTGGACTAAATTGTGTATTCATGTTGGGAAAATTCATTGTGTACGCTGTAATGATACACAGTGAGTGAATGTAAAAAATAATAATAAAAGAAAAGAGTGGCTGTAAAGTGCCATGGTACCAAGGTCAAATGATGTAATATTGAGTCCTGGCACTGCCGCTGTGTGAGCTCAGGCAAGTTCCCACACTGGGTCTGTTTTGACCTCTTTGGAATAAGCATAATTAGGGACCAGCAGTTGGCATAATGGCTATGTCGCTGGACTCCCATGTAGTTGACCGCAGTTCGAGTCCCAGATATGGTGGCTTAAACTCATGCATGTACGTGTGTGCCCAAGATCCTGAGAGAAGAATTAAGGAGAAGGGATTGCGGCATGGCCATCTCCCCATGGGGGGTTATTTCTCACTTTTTGTCTCTCTGTCTCTCTCTTTCTGGTGAGCACACATATCCTATAGCAAAAACCTCCCCCACAAAAAAAAAAAAAAAGAATAAGCATAATTATATCTCCTGTAGGATTGTTATGTGGACAGAAGTCTGACTACTTTTCCTATTTTTCCAAAGTCTTTTCAAAAGGGGACAGAGGAAGTCATGCCCACAAACATTAACAGACCATTTATTTTCTATTAACAGGATTCTTCCTACCTCCTGTCCCTGGCATAGTATATTTGAGATGTATATTTCAACCAATTACAGTATATTCTTGTGCTTATCTCTTCCCAAGACACAGAACTTCTCTTTTACTTGAGATGTAGATTAAGCCTTTCTTTAAGACACAGATCTTCCCTTCCAATCACCAACCTAAGAATTGTGGAACCCACCTATAACCTACAAGCTCCCGCTTCGACATGTCCTGTCTTTTTGGGCCAGATTAATGGAAAATTTTTTCACTAAATGTTGTCTGTCAATCTCAAAAACAAATAAAAGGAACCCCTGTACATGATCACCCCGAGAAAAGACATGTATGCCTCTTCTCCGGGCCTAGGTCACTCACAGTTGACTTGGAAATAAACCACATTAATTATTAATTATTAATTTTACAGTTGGTTATTTTTTTCCATCGACAGTTACAAGAAGTCAATGGATTAATTAAGAAATACAAAATGCTAAGCTTGTCTCATAGGACAGTGGTCAGGTGCTGTGCAGGGAGTTGGATCCCAGATTGTCACCTGTGGTTTGAATCCTAGTCTCAGCAATTTGAAAAACACCCTCAGGATGTGTGCTCGTCCAAAATTCTGTTGAGATGGAGAAATGAAAGAAAAAGGATTGTGACAAGAGCACGTCCCACAGTGAGGTATTTCCTCTCTTTCTCTCCCTCTTGCCTGCTCTCTGTTGAGCATGAGCACATCTGGAAATTAGAAAGAGAAAAAGAGAGAGAGAGAAAGATGAAAGAAGGAAGGAAAACAAAAGGCATATAATAATGTGCTTAATTTGGTATACATAATAAATATAATTATCAGTACTTAAAACATGTTATCTTTCAGTAAACCAGACCGAGTGGCCCTTTCATGGCCATGAGTTAACTTAGTTGCAAAGCAGGCTGAGTCATCTTTAGATCAGACATTCTGCTTAAAAGATGGTAAGTGGTGGGACCAGCAGTTAGCGTAATGGCTATGTCACTGGATTCCCATGTAGTCGACCGAGGTTCAAGTCCCGGTGGCTTAAACTCACGCCAGGCATGTGTGCATGCGTGCCCAAGATCCTGAGAGGAGAATGGAGGAGAAGGGATTGCGGTGTGGCCATTCCCCCTGGGGGGGGGGGCCCCCGTGGGGGGGGGGGTGATTTCTTGCTTCTGTCTCTCTCTGTTTTTCTGGTAAGCACACACGCCCTACAGCAAAGATCTCTAAAAAAAAAAAAACAAAAAAGACAACAAGGTGGAGGAATCAAGGGGAAAAAAGAAAGAAGTAAAACAGTTAAGAAACAAAATGGAAAATTATCTGTTGAAGATAATACATATAGTAGTATCTTTGATTGAGCCAGTATACAGTATATTCTGGATGGGAAAATGCTGCATTGTGTGTGCTATAACAATATACAGTGAATGAATGTAAAATAAAAAAAATAAATAAAAAGATGGCAAGTGTACCTGTCTGACACCATTCATCTTTTTTGGCAGACTTAACTCATCCCCCAGGAAGCCACCACTAGTTCATCAGGGTTCACACAAGACAAGAAAATTTATCTGTCACCTTTCTTCTCCTTCCCAGTTCTCAGGGCCAGAGTTTCAACAAACTCCATCTAGGATCAGACAGCTGGGATTGGGTGTATAAATGGAAGGCCCGATTCCAGATAAGAGGTAGTTAGCCCAAAGAGTAGAACCTCAAGCCTGAGTTACCTGGACTTTTCAGACCGAACTGCCATTTGAGTCTCAGGTGCCCTGCTGAGTACCCATGGTGCACAGGCTCACCTTGTGGAACTGTGGAGGGTATATTCGTGCAGCGCCATGGTTTGCTGGTAGCAGAGCTCGGGCTGGGCCGCAGGTCGCACGGAGGTGACCTTCAGCACGTACTGGATGGCCGCACAGCCGTTGATATCCATGAGATTGGCTTCGGCACCAGCTTCCAGCATCATGTGCATGAGCACGTGGTCACAGTTCCAGGCTGCTTTGTGCAGAGGAGATTTAAAGTCGTCGTCCCTAGCGTTGACCTCGGCTTTGTAGTCTAGCAGCATGCGGCAGATGAGGTGGTGCTCCTTGCTGTACTCCTGCTCCTTGAAGCGGAGGGCCCAGTAGGCTGCAATTGCCAGAGGGGTCTCCATGTGGGCATTCACGCTGTCCACTATGGCCCCGTGCTCCACGTAGAAGGCCACCAGCTCCGGGAGCCCAAAGTGGGCAGCCGTGTGCAAGGGCGTCTCTTCATCTTGGTTGTTGGTCTTCATGTTCACGTTTGCCCCTGTGAAAGGAAATGGAAGAAGACAATTTTCTAAGCATATTTGCTATTATTCCCAAGGTTCATTAAATAGAAAGGGTTTTTTGCTGGTTCTCTTTTAACCTCTGACTGACCTTCTTTTTTAACCTCCCCCCTCCCCCCAAGTTTCCTTTCTGGTCCTCATGGAAGTCACTTCTTTGAAACAACAGTGCCATCTCCTGGACAACCAACAAACATACCCAGGAAGAAGACCAAAGGCTGGAGCACCCTGAATGTCATTGTTTTCACTCCTGAGGGGATTTGGAAATACAGAATAAAGTCTATAACTAAATAAGTTTTATCAACAATACAGTTAGTATCATTTAAAATCAAGTGTATGGCATCACCTTTGAAGCTTACGAGTGCTTTTAAAAGTCATTGTTTCTGTTTTAATATTTCATAGAACGTTTTTCTTCTTTTTCAAAGCAGGTGGACTTAAAAGTTACTGGTGTAAGCAAATTTTTAAAAGCTGCTAAACAGGGACCAGCAGTTAGCGTAATGGTTATGTCGCTGGACTCCCATATAGTCAACGGTGATTTGCTTCCTGAACCCGGTGGCTTAAAACTCATGCTGGGCGCGCGTGTGTGTGTGCCCAAGATCCCGAGGGGAGAATGGAGAAGAAGGGATTGTGGCGTGACCATCCCCCCTGGGGGGTGATTTCTCGCTTTCTGTCTCTGTGTCTCTCTCTCTGTCTGTCTGTCTGGTGAGCGCACGCCCTATAGTAAAAACCTCTAAAAAAAAAAAAGAAAAGAAAAAAAAGCTGCAAAACCTTTTGACTGAAATTACAGGATTAAGGCCACCTAAATTTACAAGTCTCCTGTGTAACACAGTGAAACACATGCGTGCACACACACACACACACAAACTTTAGTCACCAAACTGGACTAAACCATATTTTGCATTAAAAGTATTGGAAACTTATATTAGCTAGAAGTAGAGTACATAGTAGATATACTCATGAAAAGAAGTAAAATGATTCAAAGGCTGTGACATGTTTGATTTGTGGTTGAAAAAGGATATTAGAAACTGAAATTTTTGTCCTTAGAAAACTCCTCAGAGGGACTAGCAGATGTTGTGAAGGTTACATTGCTGGACTCCCACGTGGTCAATCATGATTTTGAGTCCCAGATCTGGAGGTTTGAAACCCATGCTGGGGGCATGTGCGTGCATGCCCAAAATCCCGAGAGGAGAATGGAGAAGAGGGGATTGTAGTGTGACCATCTCCCTTGTGTGTGGGGGGGGGGAGGTGATTTCTCACTTTCTGTCACTCTGTCTCTCCAGCAAGCCCACAACTCCCTATGGCAAAAATCTCTTTCTAAATAAAAAAGAAAAAGAAGAAAATGCCTCAGAAATTGTTTACTATAGCCTACTTATTTAACAGACCAGAAAACTGAAGTGAATCTTATTTTTCTGATAAGGAATGCTAACTAGAATGGTGAACTTGAAAAGCTAAAATTTTTCTTTTCTCCCTAATTTGACAGAGTGAACCAAATGACCCCTGGGGGTAAATTCCATAATCAATTCAACTGAAATTTTTTAAGCTACTCGAAGTATAAATCTGAAGAGACTATTATTATTATTATGCCAGTAACTAATATTTATTAAGCACTTAGCCATGTGCAACATTCTGAGCTAAACACAACCTTTTACAATAGGTACAGTTTTTATATTAATTTTACAGATGAGAAAATTTGTATTTAGAGAAAGAATAACTTGCCCAACATACACCAAACTAGTGAGCAATAGAATTGAGGCTTGAAAGCAGAGAGCCCAGCGTCAAGATCCCTCATCACTGCTATTCCACTTAATTATTATTTTTCTGGAGGAAAATTTCTCTATACTCTCTTTTGGTATATGAAAATTAGCAAGTACTAGAAAATAACACTGACTTTTGTTCATTTAAGAAATCTATTTTACATTTATTGCTTTCTTATGCCTTTATTTATAGCATTCCCCCAAACATATGAGACATAATTGAGAAATGCATTACTCCTACCAGCATGCTCAGTATCCTATGCAAAATCTACCCCTTTAGGGAGGTTTGCAAGAGTGCGTTGCTCTCTGTAAACTTTGCAACTGTCTATATTCCTAACTTGCAGAATTATAAGCTGAGATCGTTTTTCATGGAGTCATCTGTATTGATCAGTATTCCGGCCTGGGGAAGTTCTGGGTTAGGTCTCCTTTCAGGTCAGCTCTTCTCTGCGCTGGAGTGAAATGGAATGAATGAGAAAGTTCCCAGAAGCCACATGCGGGAGCTCTTCAGAGGCTGGAGGATTTCCAGTAAAAAAGAAAATCAAAGGGTCAGGATGAAACCTTTACAGGCCAACTTGGAACAAACCACATCCTTTATTTTTAAAGTGTACTTGGACATTTACTATTGATCTTTGACCTCTTGGTCCAACTAGCTATGCTACAGGGGGTTTCTTTTTCTGAATCAGAACGCCTGATTTTTATACTTGAATTGTGTCTTTGAGTATAATGTGGGGAATTTGGCTACTTTCCCACATAAGATCCTGATTTATTCAAGAAATTAGAAAGTAGGAATATAAATTCTTGGAAATTAAAAAAAAAATTGAATGTGAAAATATAATCCATTAGTTTTCAAAAGCTGCTATAACAGATTGCCACACACTAAGTGGTTTAAAGCAACAGAATGTATTTTTCCAGTTTTGGAGACTAGAAGTCCAAAATGAAGGTGTCAACAGGGTCGGTTCCTTCTGAGAGCTCTAAAGGAGACTGTCTCGTATCCTCTTTTGGCTTCTGGTGATGACTGGCAATCCTTGGTGTTCCTTGGCTTGGAGGAGAGTGGGACCAAGGACAGGACCTCTGTCACTACAGAAACTGTCCTGTCTGCCCAGATTCAAGAAAATCACATCACCACGTGATATCCCTAAACCAGCTCCTCTTTCCCCTGTCTGCCATGATGGTCTTGATGTCTTGCAGATGCCGTGTGTGAGAAGACATGACTGTTGAGAAGGAGAAGTCGCCCAGGTCAGAGCTTCTCCGCCCTTTCAGACACACTCTTCCTATTCTACAGTGAAATACATCAACACTATCACCTGTCTGGAGCCGGCCCTGTAGTCTGGTGATTCAGGGAGCTGGAACCCACATGGCCTACTTCAAATTTCACACTGGCAGCTTGAAAAAAAACACTGGGCACATGTGTATGCGTGTCCCAAATCCTGACAGGATGGACAAATGGGGAAAGGATTGTGGCATCACCAAGCCCTATTGTGGGTGCTTTATCTCTCTTTCTCTCTTCTATCTCTCTCTTAGGGGTGCCCATGCCCTCTAGCATTTAAAAAAAAAAAATAAATAAATTGTATCTCATATTTGAACCTGCTTTTCTCAGTCACATTATTTTTTGGAGTGGAGAGCTGATTTTTTTCAATTTCAACTGTGAAATAGAATTATATAATTAAATCACACTTTAGCTATGCCATTACTAAGGACAGTTAAGTTGTTTTAACTTTTTCACAAGTACTTTTCAAGTTGTATAGTAGTTCCCTGAAAGGGAGAATAGAATTACTGGGTGGTAACATATGAATATTTTCAACTATATTCAATTATACTCATCAGTTCACCAGTGGTTGTATCAATTTATATGCCCACCTGTAGAGTTTCAAAATCATTTCCAACACTTGATACCATCCAACTTTTATTTAAAGAATATTTTTTAAAATTTTATTTATTTATTATTATTTTTTTAAATTGCTATAGTCATCAGAGAGAGAACCAGAGAGAGAGGGAAAATGAGAAAGCAAGCTGCCAGGTTCAGGACACGAACCATGGTTGGCCATGTGGGAATCCAGCACCTCAAACACCATGCCACATGCTGGTCCCTACTCTCAAAAATTTTAATGTTTTCCAATTAGCTTGTATAAAATGGTATTTTTATTTAATTTTTATTTCTCCACTTACCAATAGTCTATCTCCCCATATGTCTTCTGACAACAGGATGTGTGAATTGTGTATTTATAGCCTCTGTCCAGTTTTCACTGAGTTGTTTTTGTTTTTATTATTTTTTAAGAGCGATTTTTGCTATAGTGCATATGCACTTGTTGGAGAAACAGAGATAGACAGAAAGCAAGATATCATCCTCCAGAGGGATGGCCATGCCACAATCTCTTCTCCAATCTCTGAATTTTGGGCATACATGCACAAGAACCTGGCATGAGTTTTAAACTGCTGAGTCTAGAACTTGAACCATGGTTGGCCGTTACACCAGCTGGTAGTCCCTTTATTATTCACTTTTTAAGATATATAAAAAATTGTTACAAAAGTGATAAAAACTTTGTTGAAGTCAAAGGACTTAAATAAATAGAAAGTATATTATGTTCATAAATAGAAAGACTCATTATTTTAAGGCTGGCAATTCTTCCTGAATTAATTTATAAATTCAATTTAATTTTGAAAAAGATAAGTAAAAAGAAAAAAGGAGGCAGCCAGCCCATAGCCTGGTGAGTAAGGGAATTGGAATTCACCTGGCCAGCTGCATGGTTCAAGTCCCAGATCTGGAGGCTTGCACAACACCCTGAGTGTGAGTGTGTGTGTGTGTGTGTGTGTGTGCCTAAAGGAGGGAGAAATGGAGAAAAAGGGATTGCAGCATTACTAGTCCCCATGGGAGGTACTTCCTTCTCCTTTTCTCTCTGTCTGTCTCCCCACCTTTGGCTAGCTTGCACACTCTCTGGCAAATTAAAAAATAAATAAATAAGGAGGAAAGAAGAGATAGTAAAGAAGAGATATTAATCCTATCAGATATTAAAACAAATTGTAATTAAAACAGTGCAGGGTCCAGCAGGTAGCAGAGTGGTTAAAGTGCTAGACTCCCACATGGCCAACCATGGTTTGAGTCCTGGACATGACAGCTTGAAAATCACATCTGGTGCATGTGTTTACATGCCCAAAATCCCAAGAGGGGAATGGAAGAGAAGGAATTGCAGCATGACCAACCCCCCTTGGGGTGTGATTTGTTACTTTCCCTC